TATTCTAATTTGTTGAGATAGTGAATTGGTGGGTTTTTGTTAAATGTGAGCCAAAATCATCACAATTAAAAGAACCAAAGACTTAAACTACTTCAGCCTGTGTGCATTGAATTTATTTAATACACAAGTTTCACAGTTTGAGTTGAATTACTGAAATAAATGTTTCTTTTCCACAACATTCTAATTTATTGAGATGCACCTGTAAATGCTGTTCTTTTGAACTTTCTATTCCTCAAAGAATTCTGAAAAAAATATATCACAGCTTCTTTTAAATATAAAGCAGCACAACTGTTTTCAACATTAATAAAAATGAAATTTCTTGAGCAGCAAATCGGCATATTACAATGATTTCTGAAGGATCATGTGACACTGAAGACTGGAGTAATGATGCTGAAAATTCAGCTTTGATCACAGGAATAAATTATATTATAAAATATATTCACATAGAAAACCTTTGTAACAATATTTCACAATATTACTGTTTTATTGTATCTTTAATCAAATGAATGGCACCTTTGAACAGTAGTGTATAGCATCATTAAACATGACTTTTAACTGCAATCAGCTGACACATACCTGGATTTTGTGCTCCAGAAATTCTGTTTCACATGTCCATATATCTAAAAGCACGGCCAACCGATCCACATCCATTCTAGCCAAGGAATAAAGATCTCCTCCAGATCCATCTGATGCATGTGATTCTGACAGAACAACACGAATTGATGATTGTGAAACACATATTACAAATTAAAGGTGTTTTTACACTGCTGAGTTATGCAAAAATGTGCTAAACCATACTAAAATATGACCTTGTAGCATCAGAGATGACACCAAGACCTCTTTTTTTTTCTCACCTTCAATCACCTGACATATAATTTAGAAACAATTTTCACCCTCTAATCAATAACACATAGTACAGACCTACATTGTTTTCTTGTTATTTTAGAATGATTGATATACTATTATAATTTTGCTGAATATTTTGATTTGGATTTTATTTTTAGATTTTCTGTTTTCAATTTTATTTTATTTTATTTTAAAATTAGTATAATAACCCTGCCTTTATCATATGTGACCCTGGAGCACAAAACCAGTCATAAGTAGCACGGAAATACATTGTATAGGTCAAAATTATTGATTTTTCTTTTATGCCAAAAATCATTAAGTAAAGATCATGTATCATGAAGATATTTTGTAAATTTCCTATTGTAAATATATTAAAACGTAATTTTTGATTAGTAATATGCATTGCTAAGAACTTCATTTGAACACCTTTAAAGGCGATTTTCTCAGTATTTGGATTTATTTTTTGCACCCTCAGATTCCAGATTTTCAAATAGTTGTATCTCGGTCAAATATTGTCCTATCCTAACAAACCATACATCAATGGAAAACTTATTCAGCTTTCAGATGATATATAAATCTCAATTTCAATTGACCCTTATGACTGGTTTTGTGGTCCAGGGTCACATATGGAAATTCTTCTGATTATCATCAATAGAAATAGAATCTGAACACAGATCCATTAATTTAAGTTACCTTACTTTTAAAGTTTTGCTTGTTGCAAATTTCATTGCAATATGAGTGAGTCATAAAAAGAGTTTTAAACACGTATATGCTAGTAGAAAATTTGCATATTTAAGGATAAAAATCCACAGGAAAGAGCATACAAGAGCTTCTGTCCTGACCTCTGCTCCTCTGTATGAAATGAGATGCTGTGAGCAGCAGATGCTGCTCCAACTCCTCCAGGTCCATCAGGGCCACGTCATAGATGATGTAGAGACCTCGCTGGTCCTGCGTGTGGATGCAGCTCCCGTCTGTGCTGTAATAGTCATGGAGGTTCTCCACCTCAGGAAATTCCATAAACTCTGCACAGTGGACCTAAAGCAGAGCAGAGATTTAACACTCTCTGCCTTTCACATAGCATTGTTTTTTCCTTAAAACACTGTGTGAATCTGCAAGTAAGGAACCTTATAGTCAACTGGACTGTTGTAGATGTAGTGATGTGATCCAAGAGCTCCGGTAGAGCCATCGTCTCCTCTAGCAGCATTCATCCAGCCCGTCTCCTCCATACTTCTCACCAGATCTCCTCCAACCAACTCCAGACCTGCAGTGTCCATCACCAGAGTCCTCTCCACTGACCGCAGGTAGTTTAGCATGCTCAGACAGGTACGCTACACAAATAAACAGTATTTCAGTGAGTAAAACCCTTATATCGACAGCAGGGGAAATAACCAATGCAAAAGAGTACTGTCATGGAACCACCCTGCTATTTATATGGCATATGTTCACAAATATTACATTTCTTACTTCTTGTAAAGATAACTTTTTTGCCAAGAGTATGGTCATCCTTGCATAATTGTATAAATGCTAAGGAAAATACAAAAAACTAATTTAATAATATTATAATTATGATTATGTATTTGCATGATACACTTCCAAAGAATCATGGTATTACCATAGTACATTTAGCATGGTACACATTTTAAAAAGTATTGTAAAACTCTATTACATTTTGATGCTTCTGTAGGTGGAAAGACGAAAACCTCTGAAACCTTTCATATCTTTAATGCCAGTTTTTGACTGTTTTTTTTTACCTTGAGTTCTCTGATCCTGAGGTGTCTCAGGTAGATTAAAGATGCATAAGCTCCTCTGACTGTTACAGGATCCTTGGCACCATCTTCAGCATCTTCATCCTTCTCAAGAAGATAAGCACCACTGCTTTGACCAGCAATGCTAGAAGACAGAGAGCTGTTGAAAGAAACCCTCACACACACACACACACACAGACATATTTCAGTGATTGGAAAATTACCCTTTATTCTTTTTCTCAGAGTTTTTCTGATCTGGGTATTTAGATAAATGAGAAATCTGTCCAGTGGCCACCTGGAAAAAAAGCAAAACAATGTGCATACAATGAAAAAATAATGTTATTGCTTTAAAGTTAACAGGAAAGATACATTTTTTCATTATTTCGAAAAAAGTGCACTAAAGATTTGTTCACAATAGAACAAGGAACATGTATTTAAAAAGAAAACAGAGTCTACTGGTTACACAGATGTTCACCTGAAACATGTTTGCTGTGTTATAAATGCTTCTCCATATGTCAGATGTTTCTTTGAGGGTCGCTGTGTTGATGGATGAAGGTTTTGTGGGTTCTGGTTGACAAACAGATGCAATGTACTGCTTCAAAGCATCAGTCACTTTATGAAGATCGGACTCCTTTAGAAGAAGTGCAAAACAGGACCAGAATAGTAATGCTGGATACACAACTATAGACAAACTGCACGTGTGATTGAACTAATACTGACATTAACCAAAGAAAACTTGACAAAAAGTTTAGTGCATTAGCTAAAGTTGTGGCAAATTCAGCCGTTCACCTCCAGGAACTTGCTGTGCATCTTGAGAAGTTCATCCATTGATCTGAGCTCCTTGAGTTTGGCCATTTGTTTTTGTTGCCAGGGATCTCGCTTTGGTTTCATCTGTTTGTTTCCCACAGGAGACACAATGTCATATTTCATCATATTACTTCATGAATGATCACATCTAAAAATACTGTTCGCTTGTTTGACCTGTATATGAGGAATCCAGTTGGACTCTTTTCTGAGCGTCATGTTTGGACTTTTTCTCCCCCACTTCCTCTCTGTTGCTTCAGTGCTGACATACTGCAAGAAGGTCTTCATCTCCTCCTGATTTTTAAACACAGTCCTGAACAGGTAGTTAACCTACATAAACCACAAACAACTTATCAATAATAACAATCCTTATTTTTCATAATCTATGAGAATTCATCATATTGTAGACTTCATTTGAAAGAAATAGACACCCAAAAATGTCAATTTGCTGAAAATTTACTTTGGTCATTGGAGAAATTTAGCATTACGTCACTTGCACACCAATGGATCCTCTGCAGTGAATGGGTGCCGTCAGAATGAGAGTCCAAACATCTGATAAAAACATCCCAATAATCCACAAGTAATCTGAAAAACATCCCAATAATCCACAAGTAATCTAAAGCTGCGTGTTTTTAAAAAACAATTCCATCATTATGACTTTTTTAACTTCAAACCGGGCTAAAATACAAGTGCTCTATCCATAATATTGTTTTCTCCAGTGAAAAAGCAATCTCATCTGAATCAGGAGAGAAATCTTCACAGATCAAGCACCGTTTACAAGTGAAAACAGCTCTAAACAAATATGTAGGTGGATTTTGATGTGAGAGGACAACAGGAGATGGACTTTTTCACTGAAGGAAGTGTTATTTTGGATTATGGACTTGTATTTTTGCCAGAAGCGATGGTTTAAAGTTAAAAACATCTTAATGGTGTATTTGTTTCTTACAAACAAACAACTTTTCGCTTCATAAGACGTTATTTGATGGACTGGAGTGGTGTGGATTATTGTAATGTTTTTATCAGCTGTTTGGACTCTCATTCTGACGGCACCCATTCACTGCAGAGGATCCATTGGTGAGCAAGTGATGGAATGCTACATTTCTCCAAACCTATTCCCATGAAGAAATAAACTCATCTACATCTTGGAATGCCTGTAAATTTTCAGCAAATGTTCATTTTTGGGTGAACTTTTCCTTTATGATATTTTAGTTATCACAGAAGTTCATTGTAATTTAGTCAGGATTACCAAACTAAAGAGCTCCATTTCATCTCCAGCTGTCTTGATGGTTCTGGTATTATACTGGATGTCAAAATGTGACAGGAGGAAGTCCAGCTGGGTTTGAAAATCCTCTATATTGGTCGAGTGCGGGGGGACCTCTGACACTGATACAAATACACCTGGATGGGTCAAAAACAGAGTAACATGTAGGTATGTAACGATTCACTCAACTCACGATGCGATACAATTCACCATATTGATTTCACGATATGATTTTTTTTCACAAAATAAGATTTAAAGGCACAATATGTAAGATTTTTTTATTAAAATATCCAAAAACCACTAGAAGAGTGTTATATATTTTGCTGACTTGTGTACTTACATTATCCCAAATGTTTCGAAGAATGTTTAAATCCAGAGAAATAAGCAATTTGAACTAGTGACACGGACCGTGTCTATAGTGTCATTGTGTCGCCTGCCAATGACGTCATAACCCCTCGATTTCCGGTTTTGTTTTGTAGAAAACATGGAAACACCAAAGACGCTTTAATATGTTGTGCGTTTTAATAGACCGGTGACGACCGCACAAAGTAGCATTATAACAGAACTTTCAAATGTATCTAGTATGATAAAAGCTGCTTTTTTTCCCCACATACGCACGACTGGAAGGAGCGGAAGCAGTCGACTGTCGACTCGTTTCGCTTCGACAGCTTTCAGCATCACCTTGCTTCATTCTACTACGTTAATAAATCATTAGCTCATCCATGAACATGATTTCTACCCGAGTCCCGTCGGATTGCATCGGCTGTGG